TGCATGTTAAGCCTCTTTTGATAGCCTTGTGTGCTGCTTGTGTTGGAGCAGAGCATGGGTTCATCTTGCTAAACAGCATTTCTGCTTAGATTTGCTGTTTTACATGACAGATCCATGAACAAACCCAGCCTCTGCTTACCCTAGGGGTTGGAGGGTGGGTTGGAAAGGCCTGGCTCTCCAGGATGCTGGGACCCTGCTGGTACAAGCTTTCTCATATGCAATGCAACAGGCTGTGCAGTGCTGGTGGTGAAACAGCAGCTGTGGGGAAGGCTGTGCCACTGTAGGTAATTTTATCCTTCACTTTTATTCACTGGAGTTTGCTCAGTAATCTAACTGCAGATATTCTCATTAAGCAGAGAAAAATCTGCTCCTCTTTTTGTATCTTGCAAAGAGCTTTGCCTCTGTTATCTTTCCTTGTAGCAGCAGTGTAGTCTTAGGACATCCTGTCAGAACCAAAGAGAAATACATTTCTTAAATGTGATTTGGACTGTAAGAGGGGCAGCAAAGTCACTAATATTTCAATAAAACATCTATATGAGAGAAGATTTATTGTTTGCTTGCTTTAAAGGAATGCCAGGATGTGTTCCCAACAGGAGAGATGAATTATTTTCTGTTATGACACAGGGCAATTTTAAAGCCAGTTAGCTGCAAACATGTATTTCTCAGGGCTTCCTGCTGACAAGGGAGCACGCAGGGCAGGGATGGAACAGTGTGTGAAGGGATATCAGGCAGTGTCACTTAATCATCAACAGAACATTTTGGTCTGAAAATGGTAAAGCTTTGTTCATTATCTCTCTTTGCTAAGTTACTTTCTGCTCCATGTTGCAAGCTGGATTACTGCATTTATTGGAAGCCAGAGAACAGATTTCTCAGGATGCTTTTTGCCATGTATCTAGCCTCACTCCTCAGTTCAGCACAGCAAACCTGGAGTGACAGTGGCGGTATGAGTAACTGCATGATATTTCCTGTTCTTTGCTGGTTTCACTCTGGCCAGGAATAAATGCATTGCAGCAATATAAAAACAACCCATGTTGGTTTATCTCATGCATGTGAAAACTCTCCCATTTCCTTTTTGAACATTGATTAGTACCAGTCTTGAGATATGGCTGGAGGTCTCAGGCCTGTAGGTCTGATTTCCCAAAAGATTTTGCTTTTCTACAGGTGCCTGTGTTTCTCTTTTCTGCAGGGAACCCTCACCTTTAGTAACCATCTCTTGTCACTACAGAGAGGAGTCTGGACCTGGTGCAGGCTCAAGCCCCTTGTGTTGCTTGAGCCATGGGTGGCTGTGTGCACTTTGCCATCCCACTCTGTCACTGCTAGCTGGGATGAACGTGACCCTAGAAAAACTGTTGGCTTTGCTGTAAGCAATTAGTAACATCTTTCCCATGACTTGGGCTACATGGTTTCTAAGTCTCTCAGAAAGCTCCCTGAAACATGAGCCAATTTCTCTTTTAAAACTCTTATTACATTAAAACGAAAAAATCATTTTGCACTGCTGAGCAAGATGGTATTGAAAATAGAGTTCTTGCTGCCAACCAATAGGGATTTATACCTTACAGCAGAAAGGACACAGAGCCTCACTTTTTGATTAGAACAGCTCAGCTTTTCATCAGTAAAAATTGAGGTCCACACTGCCAAATAAAATAAGGCCAGCTTCTTAGCTGGTTTAAACTGGATCACCTCCATGTAGTGTCACTTGACCTGTACTGAATTTTACTTGCTGAATTTTTGCTGTTACATGGCTTTTCATCTCTAACATACAGCAGGATTGCAAAGGATTTGTCTAAAGAAATATGTTGCTATTCTGCTCCTATCCAGTCCTAGATACCCAGTTCCTGCAGATAGAAGTAGGACCCTGCTCATACACACAGTTATTGGGGTTTTTTTCCTCCTTTGGAGTCTGTATTTATGGTGTGCTAGTGGAGCATTTGTCCTAGCAGAGTGGGGATTTTATCTGTTTCTTTATTCTGGCAAGCTGTAAACCAAAATTTTAACACCCAGTAAACAAAACTGAGAAGCAGTTTGTTCTCAGTAAAATATTTTTGTGATACAACAGTGGGAAGTAAAAATGGCATCTCCAAAGCACCATGTGTGGGAATCTGAGAGGGGGAATTGTGGGAGTCCTTAAAATCAGAGGGTTTTGGGAAAGCTGCAAAAGGCAGGCCTCAGAGACAGCAGAACTGGGGTTAGAGCTAATCAGCAGACATAAGATTTGTCAGCAGAAAAATTATACAAGAAGTAGAAAAGTAAGGACAAATAAAACAACAGTCTGTGTATTAACACCTGGCTAGAATAACTCCCTAAGTTACAGAAGAGTATATCTAGCAAGATATTAGGAAATTCTAAGCTTAATAATGAAGCTCTGTGCATTGTATCTTAAGACTTACAAGCAGGTATTGTATTTGAAATAAGCAAGCATTATTTTAATCAAAGGTAGGTGGGCTTATAGTGGTTGGATAGAAGTACTGTCAATATGCTTTTCCTTTGTGTGATTGGTCAAGAAGCTTTTAAAGTAAGTTGTAACATTAAGTTATTTGTCTGCTGCCTGGGATGTGAGCTGCTGGCATGTTCCCATTGTCATAACCATATAATGAGACTGATGCTGGAGAATAAAACAGCTCGAGACACGTTCCTCAGCAGCCCCGTCCCATTTGTGATTTGTACATGGAGCCCCAGCCAGCAATACCATGTTCTTCCCTTGGTGCTTGCTGTAATTTTAGCACTGCAGTCATGTAGCTGGGGAGGAAATTTTGGGGTTGCAAACATTTGAGTGAAAACCCTCAATGAAATAGTTGTTGGTGATTTTGTCATACTTCCACATTTAGTTTCTCTAGAGGAGGCCGAATTGTGAAGAAATGCTGAGAGCATTAATCACACTCATATATACTTTTCAGCTGTCTTTTGGCAGCCTTTTGAAAGTCGCAGCTAAAAATACTGAAAACACTTTAGGCTTAATGGGATTTGAGTTGAGAAAAATGACAGCATAGAAAGAAAATCCTTAGAACAATGGGTTGTGCTATGGCTGTACTTGCAGAGGTCCCAACTTAGGTGAGATAACAAAAGGATTGTTCATCTGAACTAGAGGTGCACCTCATCTAAAGGGGAGTCCTACATTGTACTCTGAAGAGTTGTGTGGGTTTTGAGGGACTTGTCACTGTGATGGGAATGTGAATGGACAAACCTTTTGGTGGTGGGTTTACCTTGGCTGAATGCCAGGTGCTCACCAAGCTGCTCTATCACTGCCTTCCTCAGCAGGACAAGATGGGATGGAGGAAAATAAGATAGTAAAAAAACATGGGTCAAGAAACAGGCAGTTTAATAAAGCAAAGGATGCACATGGAAGTAAAGGAAAACAAAACACTTATTCTGTACTTCCCATCAGCAGGCACTGTCCAGCCACTTTGCAGGAAGCAGGGCTTTGGTACACAGAGCAGTTGCTTTGGAAAATAAAAGTCATAATAATGAATGACATAGGGGCAGACAGCAACCAGCATCTCTCAGACTCAGAAGACCTCCTCATGCTTTAAGCTTAATAGCCCACGTCTTAGACTGGAATCAGCAGTTCATTTTAGGATATGGACTATGAAAGCCTAAATAGAAATCAGCAAGTAAATCAATTTTTTTTCCCATCTCTGCCTACTATTTTACGTTATTTCTGCCAAATTGTTCTTCTGAGGATATTAAAAGACTGAAACGTGAGAAAAGCATGGGAGGCACAGGCTGTGGTAATAAAATGTATTTCTTCACTGATTTTACAGGCTGTTGTAAAGTCCCCATGTGACTGTATTTACTCACTCCCAAGTCACGTTTTTCTCTAGCATTGAGCAGGAGTGGCCAGAAATAAACCCTACACTAAGCTCTTGTTCCTGCCTCCACTTGGTGAGAAGCATTGACTGTTCAGCAGCCGGAAATTCAAACTCTTAGTGATGTCAAAGTGCGACTGGTTGTGCTTCAGCTTTCTGTGCTGTAGGAGATGACAGCTGGGGGAGCTGCCGTGGCTGCGGCGGGTGGGCCAGCAGGGACAGCCAGCGTGCCTGGGCGCTGCATCCTTTCAGGGATGCGCTGCATCCTTTCAGGGATGCGCTGCTTTTCTCCCAACGTGGCACTGGCTCTTTGTAAACTACCCCTGGGGAGTAAGCGAGGCGGACACATTCCCTAGGTCTCTTGGGGCCTCCTGATTTTTTTCCTTCAAGATTTATCTAATGTGTCCATTACTGTGTCTTGGGAGCAGCGCCCTGGTGCGAGGGAGCCGCGGAGGCACTGAGGGGGCAGCGTCACAGGTCTGAATTGAGTTACCGCGGTAAACAGCAGGGAGTAGGAATCGCAATAAATTGAAATTGCTGGAAATATACCTTCAAATCCCAGTTTGGAACTTAAATTTTTGCTGTTTTGGGTTGGAACAGAGCTTGGGTGGGTTCACTTGGTTACGTGCCTGAGCTGGACACTGGAATAACGCTCGTTCCCCAGCAGCCCTCCTCCCTCCGTCCTGTCCCCAGGCACAGACCGAGAGGAGAGGATCAGGTTTTGTTTCAGAAGGAGGCAGCTTTGCCGTGTTGAAGGGAAGATGGGGCGGCTGCTCCGCCTGCTCCGAGCCCTGGGGGTGCCTTCCTGCCTACGCCCCTCCGAACACCTAAGAACTTATGTCTGCTCTTCTAACACCTTACACCTCTCCCGACGCCTTGCCTTTCCACGGCGGGTCCTGTCCTGACTGAGACAAGGGTGGCACTAATTACTTTGTCTTAATATACAATAACAGTATTCGCAGGACTGAAAGGATCCCCAGCGCAGGCTGCCTCCAACCCCACCGTTCCCCTCGCAGGTCCCGCTGACCCCCGCCCCTGCTTCTTCCCGGGTTTCCGTCTGGAAAACGTTTATCCGCCCCGGGATAGCCCCCCACCGGGATAGATAGCCCCGATTCGGGATGGATAGCCCCTCCCCGGCATAGATAGCCCAGCCCCAGGATGAATAGCCCGGCCCCGGGATGGAAAGCCCCGCCCCGGCACGGATAGCCCGGCCCCGGGATGGCTCGTCCGGCTCCGGGATGTGCAGCCCCGCTCCCGCCCCGCGCCGCCGAGGGCAGGTAAGGGCTGCGGGGCTGCGCCGTGCCGGGCACAGCCCCGGTGTGCGGGGGGCGGGAGCGCAGCCCCGGGCCGGGCTCGGTGCGAGCGCTCCGTGTCCGTGCCCATGTCTGTGTCCGTGTGCCGTGTCCGTGTGCGGGTTCGTTTTCGTTTTCCGGGTCCGGCCGCCGCCGGGACACACCGGTGCCAGCCGAGCCTCGCTCGCCGGCCGGGCGGCGCTGGGAGCGGGCGGAGGTGCCGCTGCCCCGCTGCCCCCGCCCCGGGCCAGCCGTGCCGCGGGTCCCCAGGGGGCTCGGGGACTTCCCTTCCAGGCAGGGGCTGGGCACGGGTGGCCCGGCAGCGGGTGGGAGTGTGGGGTGGAGCTGCACGGAGCAGCTGCCGGGCAGGACACGGGGACAGCTCGGTGCCCGCGGCGGGGGCGGCAGTGCGGGCGGGGACGCGGCTTTCAGTGCCCGTGTGCTCCGCTCGGGTCAGGACGGCGCCTGGCGCAGCGTCCGGCGCGGCCGAGCGCACGGAGCCGGCCGTGACTTTCCCGGCCCTGCAGGGACGGCTCGGGGCTGGTTCCGCCGACCGGGATGCCGGGGCCCTGCCTTGACATGGGGCATCGTTCCCGTGGGTCTGGCCGAGACTTTGGGCTGTTCAAATCAAAGCGTATCTTATCTTGCATTGATGAATTGCGTTATCAAAGCCTTTTGCAATTAGTCACAGAGTGGCTTTTGTCCCATCTATTAAAATTAAGTTTGTTAGGCAGCTGCTGGTTTTCAGAGGAGAGATCATAGAACCAGAATAGTTTGGGTCTGAAGATCATCTTATTCCAGCCCCCTGCCATGAGCAGGTACACCTTACTCTAGATCAAGTTGTTCAAGCCCCATCCAACCTGGCCTTGGACACTTCCAGGGATGGGGCATCCACAACTTTCCCTGTAGAGAAAATCTGTCATAAAAAACTTCAAAAAAAGGAAAGTCCTAGAAAATAAAGTGTACTTTTGATGATTTATAGTGTACTTTTTGTTATTACTTCCTCACTTTGTATTCTAAATTACTTGTAAAAACATGGAATGTTATGTGTCACTTCCCTGTAACTTCTGCTGTTTTGTCTGTATTCTCCTAGTCTCCCCTGTCAGTCCTGGTTTTATTTACTTCCGTGTTCATGCTTCATTGTTGTAAATGTTTGACATGGCAATAAAACTAGCATTTATTAATTTCTGCTCCCTTTGCAGCCATCTCTCCAGTGTGATCAGTGCTGGTGTTTAAGCCATGGTAACCCATGGCCTATGACCTGTTCGGTTCTTACGTCTTTTCTTGGATTGCTTTGGCACTGAGTCATTTTCACATAAAATAGTTTGCAGTGGAGCATATTCTCTCCAGTGATGCTATAGACCATTCTAGGCCCCTGCATCTCTGTCCCCCGGGCAGCCCACAGGGCATGGTCAGGCAGTGGGGATCTACTGACCTGTCCCTGTGAAACTTCTGTGAGGCTGTCAGCAGGCAGGAGTTAATTGGTTCTGAGGGCTGAGCCCATTTCCCTTACCTCCCTCCCTGTTCCACTCTGGCAGAATATCTGAGAAACTGCACGTGGTGACCCAAGTTTCTGCTCTCCTGCACAATCCTGTAATTGAAGTCTAAACTTGTTTTATTCCTCCTGAACTCATAAATTATATCCCTTTAATGGGCCTCCATCCCTGGGAAAGAGGCAGCCCTTGCCACAGTATGGCACAACGTGGGACAAAGTGTTCATTGTACATGAGGCTCACTTTGATTGCATTTAAATCAATATTGTTATCTGCACCCAGAGATGTCGCAGGGGAGTGTCTGTGTTGGGGTGGGGGGAGAAAAACAAAGCAATGATAAATGTTTGCAACAAAGTTGAAAGGAGTACAAGGCTGTCCTGGGGTGTAAACAGATGTCAGAGCCTGAGAAAAATAAGGGCTTGTTAGTGACACTTGATTCAAAACCAAGTTACATTTTTTTTTGCAAGTTAAACGTAATGGTGCAGTTCATCCTGGGGAGCCAAACCAGATGGGATTAGAAGCTCACCCAGGGAGGATGCTGCTGGGAACTGCTCTGGGTGGCTGCTTGGCTGAGCCTCAATGGCTGGAGGGGCTTCTGCCCAAGCTGTTCCCTTCTTGCAGACCTGCAGCTCCCAGGGCTGACACCACAAAGCAGAGTCACCAGCGTGGAGTGTCCCTGGGCAGGCATCTTACCCTCTGCAGCATAATGTGCATTTTACACAACAGCATCATCATACAGGTGTGCCTGGGCAGAATTAGAGTCGTCACTGCTCATGTAAAAGCTCCCAGTCTTATTCAGCTTAAGCACCTACGAATAAAACTACATTGTTCAACAGTTAAGATGACCTTGTTATTTTTATCCAGAAAGTCTGTTTTCTCCACCTTCCTTCAAGACTTGCTAAGTATTCATGGAGCTGCACAGATGGAAGAAACACCTTGTCTGTGCAGGAAGTGGTACCAGATGATCATCTGATACTGATTTTATTTTTAGTGATTTAATTAAATCAGTGCAATCTGTGTTTGGACTTCTCACTCAAGTTTGTCTAAACTTTTATGTTAAGCTGAACTAAATGACAGGCCATGTCCACATGCAGATTTGTGCTAGTTTAAGCACATCTATTTATAGCTGTGCTTGTAGCTAATTTACCTACTGCAACTTTGTCCAGTAGAGAGAACCTACTATGAGAACTGTGGTTTTGTGCTGAAATTAGTGTAGCATCTGGTTCACTTTTAATCTCCTTGTGAATTGAGACTACCCATTAGCCTCCTCGTGGCTGTGGGTGTTGGATGTCACCTTTCACTGGACAGACTTACACCTTTCACTTACCTCTAATCATTGCAGGGGACAGACAGTGGGAGCAGACGCCTTCTTTTAAGTCATGAGTGCTGCAGGGCCTCCTGTCCCACTCAGGTCATCCTGCTCCTAGAGCACATCCATAGCTGGAGCAGCTGAAATAATGACTGAGTCTGTGTTTGCATTGAAAAGTTGCATTATTTCTGGATTTCTGGAAGGAAAGTGGCCAGTTAAAAAACTATTCCCATGTATGAATTTGTTTTCTCATGGAACAAGCAGGGGATGTGGCAGATTCAGGAATGGGCTCACTCTCCCTGGAGTTTCCTTTCACTGTAGGTCATGGTGACAAAGTAAAACAGCTTTAGTTAAAATTTTAGTGTAGTGCATTTCTGCACTAGAACTAGGCCCAGCACAGATCAGTCTAGGCCTCAGCTCATGTTTGGGAATTAGAAGAGAAAAAGGCATGGGTCCCAGATCAGACATGGCCCTTGGGCATCATTTTTCTCCCCTTCCATCATGGGTGGGGTGACCCCAGCCTCTGGATGTAGATGCTCTTTGTTTTGGCATCAATAACTAGAAACTACAGGTCAGGCAATTACTTCCTAAGAGTGTTTCTAAAACTCCTTTTCCTGGATGTTGGAGGGAATTATACCTGCCAGATATCTCAAATGATGTGATGCACCCTGCTGTTTTACAGTTAACTCAAAACAGGAATGAAGGTATTTCAGAATCATCCAGGCGTAGCTGAGGCTTAAAAATAATCAGTGACCAGAAGGAAGGATCCCTCAGAATGTGAAGTTTCCTAAACAAACAGCACTGTTTTCCCTTGGGATTTATCACCATGCCTCATGCCATTGAGCTCAGCAGGCATAGGAGTACAAAGGAATTGGACCCTGCATATTTTTAACTTCACCATGTCACAAAATGAGGTGGTTTTAGCATTGTGTTTTTTTTAAAATAAAATATCTTCCGATTTGGAGGGCTCCTGACCAGGGTAGGTGTGGCAAGCTCACAACTATTGGGGCATAACAATCAGGGTCAGGAAAGCAATTTAAGACATGTCACCACTGCAGGCAAACATGGAGAAATTATGTTTGGAACAAAGCACAGTTGAGGTCAGCAAATATTTTTCTGGGTCAAAAATAATAGACAGAAGTTCTCATGGGTGGTTGCTTTTTTCTTTATTTTCCACTTCTGCAGTTTCTTTGTTTGAACTCAGCCAAAACTTACCTTCCACCTCCCATTTTTTTATACTGAAAATACCTGAGTTCTGAGGATGAGTGAGTGACAAAGGAGGACAGCAAAGTGATTAATCTAATTAATTGCAGTGTCCTAGCTTTAGGCTGTTAACTTCTCAGTTTTAGATACCATACATTTCGTTGTCCTTACCTTTTCAAGTGTAACAGCTGAGAAGATGCTTTTAGGAGTACGCATCATAGCACCTTGCATCTAGAAACCCTGCTAGCAGGACAGCTGAGTTTTTAAACTCAGTTCTCCTTTGGCTGGGAGGGAAGCCTGGACACCAGGATGTTTCTCTGCTGGGAGTGTCAGTGTGGCAGAAGCGCAGCAGGATGTCCTTAACTGGCTCCCAGCTAAGCTCTGGGGGTGAAGGGTTGTTCCAAACTAATAAATAGGGAATGCAGATCCTTGTAGAACTTGTTTTCTTGAGGACATAAGAGCAGATTTCGTGCAAACCTCAGCACAAGCCACCGTCCCACCCCAAAGCCAAGTGCATGTAGTGAGGTGTGAGAGGCTTCCCCCTCTCCTCCACCAAGGCTCTTGGGATGGAATGTCTGTGCTGGGAGTGAATGGAGGCAGAGGGTCTGGCAGGTGACAGGAGCAAAATCTCTGAGGTCCTGGCTTCCTCTCTGGAGATCCAGCCATCCCTGTTCACTGGGTTATTGGGGAATTTCTTGGTGTCCCAGGTGGCTGTGCTTGTTTGTTTGTGTTGTGGCAATCTACAGAATTACAATGAACTACATCCTGCAAGCTCTGCAAATAGATCCCACCTATGAAATAAACAGAACTCTCAAATATTTAGACTATAGCATTGCATTATCAGTTTATTACCAATTAAAGAGCTTGCTGATCTTAAGGAGTCTGAGTCAGTCTTCTCCTCTGATGGGTGTTTTTATTTTGGCAATGTTGGTTCTAGGAAATAATGATTAAGACTGAGAAGCTCAGTCTTTTGTTTATCC